GGTAAAAAGTTTTACTGTTTATCGTATTTTGGTAAAAAAGCCGTCGAAACTGAAGAGAAGAATGGGGTGGTGGTAGGACCAGAACAGTAAAAGCAAATGTTAAAAATGGTAATCGTACCTAAAACCAAAACCCACGTACAAGTGCGTCCACCATGCCATATAAGTGAAGAAAATAAAAAAGCAAATCAAACTTCAACTAATTAATATACTCTCTATCATTAATGACAGATCGGTGCCACTTTGATTTTGTGGGGAAGAGAATATTAGCTTGAAGTGATACCCCTTTTTAGAGAAGAATTAAGTGCTGCCATTTTTTATCACATCCTTTCTTTTTCTTTTCAGAAAATGTTATACTAAACAAACAAACATTTAATGTGGCCCAAAGTACTATATAGACTTTATAAAGGTTAATTCTATCCCATATTTTAGAATTTGCAGTTTAGGAATAAAGACAGTTCTGATATTATATGGCTACATATTTTTTTTCTGAATTAATTAAATAGTATTTGTCTTCTTTGAACCGTGAGGCCGGTCATCGTTGTTTTCCCCTGCGAATGGATAAATCAATTTCCGACTTGGAAACGGAAAGATATATGGGGTTTTCCTATAAAGGAGCCAATATTTCGGATAGCCAGAATAATTGCTTTTTAGAGGGGTCAAGTAATTATGATTTGGTGTTGTTTGAACAGCTGAGAGCTAGTTACGTGAACAGACCTCTGGTGTTATGTCATTTCGACGAGACATTAAGAATGGACGTGCGCTTCCCACAGTCCATTCATAAACGGCGTCGTTTGAAAATGGGTTAGATCAATTATGAACAGCGGTTGACAAATGCTTTGTTTATCAAAATTTCCACTTGCCTCCTTTTTACTTTTCTTTCTCAAATTTCTTCATAATTCCATCTCATCCCTTCTTGACCCTGCTGTCTTTCTTTCTGGGGATATATATTTTAGAATATGGACAGATATAAAACTATGGATTATTTTCCCTCCTGCCGCACCATTTGATGCAGAAGACTCAGATCAGCATCAGATGATTAATCAGAAACCATTTTCTTTTGGATTCTGGGGCCTGCCGTACAATTTTGACGGTGCTTATCTGTTTCCATTTTATCATACAAAAATATCCAATTGGGTTACACTAGATCTTACCGTACCGTTCCATGGCAAATCCAGACATCAATTCATCGGCCTGAGATTGAACACCACAGCCGGCAAGTAGCCATGATTGACTTCAATCATGCGTATGACATAAATTAATTAGCCGCACAAGAAATTTTGGGGATATTAATCATAATATGGGCAAGTGATTATGATATCAAAGAAGCCAATCATAGGAGTTTCAAACAGGCAATTTTACTCCTATGATTTTTTTTTTTTTGGGTGCAATCATGCGCATATGTTTGGCAATGGATGAGATTTTACCAAAATAAAAATACCATGAGTAAATTAAAATTGTACAAAAACATAAGAATTATGGATAAAATTGTACCATTTAAAAAGTGGGGATTTGATTGCATCTTATAAATAAGATTAAGGTTAAAATTGCACTTTTATTCATTTTCAAGCCTAAGTTTTTTTTTTGGCCCGGGGGGGGGAGGGAAACCCGAGGCTCCTTTTAAGTAACCATGGTCTCTCTCTGTGTATTCATCCTCATCACTTCAAGATTCCTAGCACGGTTAATATTTTGTCATTTTCCTCCATTGATTCATATTTTTTGTTAGTTGGGGAACACAGAATTTACAGGATTCTCTCTGTAATTGGCACTTTCTTTTTAGATCTTAATTTTCCAAATCCGTGTGGAGCAGTTGTATGCCAGTAACGTCACATTTTTTGCAGCACAAACAAAACAAGAAGGTGGATAATAAACACCAGCTTTTTAAGCTCAAGGAAGAAACCAAAGCATTTGGATGCTATAACTAAGAAAGTAAGAGTCAGCTTAAGAAATTAAGTTTCATGTTCATGGCTCATATGACATTGGCTCAAGCAAAAGTGGTTTTGGCTGTACATGTTTATGTTCTCAAGTAGAATCTGACTGTTTGGCCCTTGTGGATGCGGTGCCCAGGTTGGAGGGTAGACTCCTTTGGTTAGATTTTTCTGTTGTTGTTGGTCATATTTTGCTATTGTTTGTGGTGACTTGGCTGGTGGCAAAATGGGTGTAAGCTGAACTCTGTTCTTGACGAAATGAATGTCTCTTTGTTTTGTTGTTGACCTAAATGAGGGAAGAAAGAAAGTTTCGGCATTGTGTCATTAATCTTTTGATTGATCACACCTGAAATTCTTAGCAAGAATAACCACATGAATCAAGTGGAGTCATTCTTTAATGTCTTTAGTATCTGCTTTGATATGATCTGAGCAGAGGGGTTGTTGGATCAAATTTAGAACCCTGAATTCCCTGGTTTTGTGAAAGTCATTAGTCAGATAAAATGTTGCTAGCTGTTACTGGATGTTAAGCATACTAACAGACAGGATAAAATTTTTTTCAAAAAGTTACTTTGATCAAGCGTTCGTTGGAGAGAGTTTCTGTTGTGCATGAATTGCAGGAGGGAGATACTATGTTCTTCCAATTACTTAATCTGGAGCATATTTTCTTAGATGTTCTTTTGGTGTGTGGGGGTTATATATTTTAGTGGTAACAAGAGGTTATATTCATGGAAATAAGGAAATGCTTATCCCTAACTCTTTTTCATGCTTATTTTTGCTTCATATCGGTGTAAAATATACCAATGAGAAACAAATTCAGTGCAAGCCAAGCTCACAGGCTACAACTTTTAGCTTTTAGACCTAGATAGAGAAGATGTATCATCGGTTGGTTTCCTGGAATGGCCTTCGGATCAATCATTGAGGAAGGAATTCCTGACAAGGATCCCATTATTTTGGGAACATCATTGTATCATTATGAGTAACAAAATAGGGGAGGGAATGTCATTTACAAGACCTTTTTGTCTGCCCAAAAAGGTGTGAATGTGTTCCAACAGAATTATAGTGCTATGCATCGCCATTTTACCGTTGATATTCTTTCTTGTTCTCCCAATTTTAGTCATAGCTTGAAGGCATATTTGAGCAAAATTTACCAAGGACTCGTTGCAAGGGGAGGTTATCCATGAGTTTTTGATTTGGTAAGGTTGACCAATGTCACAGCAAGAGGAACAAGAAGCTGCCCCAGTGCAAGAAATGTGAAGGTAATTTGGTGGTACTGCTATGCAATCAGACTGATCAATTGCAAATGACAGTGAGCCTTTAGTGCTTCAGAGATTGTTGAAGTATGAAAAGGTGAATGAGTGGGATGTACATCTTCTCCCTTGACCAATAATCACATGGCATGCCTTAGACTCTTAGGTGCCATTAGTTGAGGACTACGACTGACGGGGTTTCTTGACGATAAACAAATTCGTATGCTGTTATGCCTTGAGTGTTTCCATATTATTCAAGTGATTTGAGGAAGAGCTACCATTGGCATCTAAAAAGGAAGTTTAGGAGTTCATATAGCAACAATGCTGGTGGTTAAGTGCTGACATTCTATTTGTTCTGCTCCTTGATCTTCTCAGCTGGAGAAAATGCGCATACTCATCATGCTGTAGCTTCTAATAGCTTAGATATGCCATAATTTAAAAAAAAAAAAACAACAACAACAACAGCAACAAAACAAGAAGAACAAGAATCTTTTACAGATCAGAGAGAAAACCAGTGCTGCAGCTGCTGTCCCATAGAAGAAAAAGACTGATGTTTTAAGATTGGCTTTGAAGGTTATGCAATCTGCTAAACAATCTGAACATGATAGTGAGGAAGTTCATTCAGAAGTATTGGAAGCCAATGCTTAAATTAAAAGATGTGAAAAGGTCAGCATCATAATTAATGGAAAGCCTATATATGCTGGCAATCTCATCCAGGGCTTGAACAAGAAGCTGCTCATTGGATTTATCTTGGGAACCGTTTGTTAATGCTATATAATATAGCTTGCCAAGTTACACATCGATTTTGCCAAACGGGACAAAACGCTACGAGCCTTTGAGCATCAACTTGAACTTTTAAGACCAAAACAGCTTATCATTAGCTATGAAACTGGTGCATCGCAAACCGTATGGTACTTGGAGTGTAGAAGATAGACAAAGCTGGAAGAGCTGAAAGGAAAAGGAGCCTGTAATGGTTTTGATGCTTATCAATAGGGTTTGAATTACAAATCAGAATGCTGCTTGTTAAAACCTTAGCTTTGTGATGTAAATACATCTGATGTGTACAATATTTTGGTCTGTTTATTACCATTGAAAACATCAAATCTCCCTGCAAATCTGGATATGGGGTGATGTGCTGCTAGTGATCAAACACTCATAAATGCGCAGAATACTCCCAGTCTCCCACAAAGACCAGAGTAGCGTTTATGTTAAACTATTCATGCTTTCATTTTGAAAGGAGAGAGGCAAGTTGTGATCCAATTGAAAAAGTTCACAGATTTTAGGAAATGATTTGAAGTTTGGGCAAACATTCAAAACCATAGTTTGAAAAATATTTTTCATGACAATTTAGCATGGGAGTTTCTGCCCAATATTCTGTCACAAGAGGTAGGCGTACGTCATATAAATTAAAATGACCCCTACTGTATAAAGTGATATAATCACAATGACCAAGTATTTTGCACAATATGAGCACTCCAATTAATTTAAACTCTAGTTTGAAGAATTGATAGCACCACGAGCGGACAAAAAAAGACTGAAAATTAGTATAAGATAAAGCCTTCTTCATTAGGATTTTAGGACTGTCAAGTAGATCTGATGTAGGATTGCAGGCAATATTTTTCATCCATATATAAACGTTTTAGATCACAATTACCTTTTACCCAATTCTGTTTCTCTCTAGTAGAGACTCCGTTTTTTCAGTGTTGGGGGAAAAATTCTGAACACCGGAAACGCTTCACTAAAGTAATTGCCAAAAAAGATAAAAAGAAAAGCTAAAGTGAAGCTCGTCAATTGCAAATAATTTGTACAAGAAACAGACAAGTCCTAACTCGGAGAAAATAAATAGAGATCAGAGGAGAAGGAGGATAAATCAAATTGGAAAAAGCAAAATGATCAGTCCTAACCCAAACCCACTACCTTAAATAACCCCAAGCTGCTAGAGCAGACAAAGGAAGAAAAAACAGACCCTCATCATCCGATACTGTCACTCCTTAAAAAACAAAGGAAACTTTAAAAATTCGATTCAACCATCTACAAATTTAACATCTTCACCAATCACTCTATATCCCAATCTCCACGTCTCTGCAGCCAGATCCTCCTTCCTGAAACACGAAAATATATAAATATATAGAAATTATACAGAAAATTTAGAAAGAGATACAGCATAAAAAGACTCTGGTATTTAACCTGTGAAGTCACAGTAACACGAGCTCCTTCATTAACTAATCTAGACCTTCTTGGTCCATCAACTTCTTTATCAATAGATCCTTCACTCTTATCAGCTTTCTTGGATCCAATGTGACTTTTTCTGAGACCCAGAAATCCCTTCCAGCTGGTGGAAGGACCCTTTGGAGGCCTTAGCGAGAAATGTTCATATTCATCATCATCATCCACGAGAAGCTCTTCCCTCAGAGTGGTGGTGGTCCTCTGCATCTGAGTGTCCTTAAAGGGCAAGATCCTACCTTTGGAGAAAAGCTCATCGGCACTCATCATGGAATAACTTGAGACAGAGAATTCAAAGTCAGAGGAAACAGGGGCATCCCTGGAGCTTCTTTCCTGATGAATAATGGAGGCATGTTGGGAATCCACAAAATCATTTGAGAAAGAGATCCTGGGGCTGATTGGAGGACAATGAAGATGATGATGACCCTTGTGCTCTGAGTTGTACATTTCTAAGCATGCCATGGGGTTTCAGAACAACATGGGGATTAAAAGAAGAAAACAATATGAATAAGAAAGAAGAAGAAGAGGAAGAAGAAAGAAACAAAGAGGCTAATAATTTCTACTAGGACCCTCTCTAGCTTCCTTTCTGTTACTATACAACCCACCCTCGGTAGATGTTTGTATTTATATGGCAAAAGGGATCTGCATGCGGATTTTTTTTTTAACTTTCTTTTAAAATTAATATTAAAATCATGCATGGCATGCCATGACATGACTTTTTGTCATGACATGTTAATTTGGCATTCAGTAATGGTCAAGACCTTCAGGTTGAGGATATACTATACTGCTGTCCCTGAGTTACTCTGTAAAAAAGTGAAGCCATGAAACTGCCAGGAAACTCTTTAAAAAAAAAAAATTAATGGTATTGATTAAAAAAAAAAAGAAGCTCTACTTTTTAGGCCAATCCCTTATGTTTCATGTTTATTACATGGTAAAAAAGAGTTTTGGGAAGATTCTAAGAATTTGCACTTTTAACTATGTCATCTCAACATCCCATGCATACAAACAAAACATGCATTACCCCTCATTTTATTTTTTATTTCCCTCTTCCTTGTTGTTTTCTGTGAAACGTGGATAACCCCAACAGTAGGGTGGTGGACCAAAGAAGTTTACAGTCTACGCAGTCTAAAAGATCAAATGGTCAAAATTGTGAGCCCAGCTAGCAGGGTTTCAAGATAGTAATAAGTTGATGCTATCTGTTGCCATTTGTGGTGCAGAATGCAACAGCAGCGACACATTAATAAGGGAAGCACATTACTTACCTAAAGTTTTAAAAGACTCATTTTTTTCACATCTAGTTTTTTTAATTTAGCATACAGTCATTTTGATAGGCAAAAATAATTACTGAATGGGGTTTGTATAAGAGAGTGTTAAATGCATTAGAGGCAGAATGACATAGGGAGAATGGTAGCAGAGTAACAGAGAGGGGTCTGGCATGCATGCACAGCACAGCACTGGTAACTGACCAAAAAGCCATTGAGTTTGACCCTCTAAAAGTGAAATGAGCTGGCGATGCTGACGGATCAATCTGACCACGTGAGTCCAAAACTTAAAAAACCCATATCATCAAAACAAGTTTTATATATATATATATAACTCCACAACAGTTCAATTTGGGAGAAGATGGCTCAATAAAAATTTGCTATTTTTGTTTTCAGAAAATGGGGTGGCATTAGCATTAAGTGGCCATAATGAGGATTGAATCACTCTTCCCTCTGGAAGCAATCACGTGGCCTCTCTTTATTATGCAAATTTGCTTTTGATTTTATAATTCTGCTTTTGTTTAGTACTTATATTGTTGGCCATAGTTATTCACAATTGGCCTGTGATTCACTTGACTTTAACTCACTCAACCTATTCCCGGCCTCAGCTGGCTGTCACCTTGGAGGATATATGGAGTGAGAGAGAGTGAGGGAGGGGAAATGTTTTTGTCGTTTTGTTTTACAGAAAAAGTTAATTATTGTTTGTCATTTATTGTGTTATGACAACAGAGTAATTGCATACTTACATTTAATATCTAAATTCAACCTATTCCTGTCTGGCTGTGGCTGGCACCTCAGAGGATATATGCGGTGGGAGAGAGTGGGAAGGAGGGCAATGTTTTGTCATTTATGTTATGGAAACAGTAATTTTTATCATTATTTAAAACAAAATTATCATCTTCCTAAAATGATTAACATTTACCCTTACATTAATGACTGAATAATACAAAAACTATATTATAATATTGTTTTGGAGTGGTTAGAGAAGGGGATGGAGTACACATAAAACTCAATCATATGCAATCATATGTTATAAGAAAATTTGTTTGTTTATGGATTTCGTATCTTATAATTGTACCCTTTTTCCCCCTTTTTTCTTTCCATATCTCTCTCTAAGTACATAATAAACAGTCAATTTTTATGAACTCATACTGGTTTAGTTTGCAGGCAGCACAGGAAGGGAAGGGGTAAGATGCAGGAAAGGACGAGGGAGTGAGAGAGTACTTAAGGCAATGGACTTGGACATGGTTGTCACTCACGTGGTGAAGCTAATGGGGTGTTGACACGTGGCCGATACCTACAAAAGAAAGCAATGTCGAACATGGACTAGTCAAACACTATATCAAAGGCTGCTTCCTGATTTTGGTCTCCCATCTTGTTAGCAACAACTTGATTCCTATTGGCTCTCTTCTTCTTTAAATCCCCTCTTATTTCTTATTCATTTTTCTGTATCTTAAGCTCGTTCTTCAATGTCAGATCACAACAAAGAGACAAGAGTAAGGAAGAAAGAAGTCTCTAGCTAGCCACCAAGTAATTCTTCTGCAGTGAGTAGATTTTTAATTAAGATAGTAAAAACTCCTCCTGTTCTATATAGCTGTAATCTACTGTCATAAAATGCAAATACTGGACTTGATACCAAGTGTAATAGCTCCTTCTGGGAAGTTTAATTGTGGAAATGATTCAAATGAATGTAGTTTCTATTGATGGATGATCTCACAGCCATATATGAAACTATATGGAGCTGAGCCTCTCTCTTTCTATTAGCCAGTACTCTCACTGAGGTGTAAATATATCTAGAGAGAGGGATTAAAAATAGGCAAACTCAAAGTTTACTTCACATTCTAATTTATTGGAATAGCCCAGTTGTTTATTTTGTGTTCTCTGCTAATTTCTTCTTCATTTGATTGATCCTTTCCCAAGGCCTGATGATCGAGAGACCGACAAGCATAAGACATATCAAATTCTCTGACAGGTTTAAGTATGATTGGTTTGATTGTTCATTTGTTGATCATGAGCTTATGTAAACTATATGAACTGATCTCTCGTTGCAAATACAAGGGATGTAGTAGATATAGGTGAGGAGATTTTGCTTCGCTTTATTGGGATGTCAGATACAGTATATACCTCATTGTACAGGTCAGTCAGGCTAGCAGGGAAAACCATTGATGAACAGAATCTAGTGGCTGAAACCAGGCCCACAATTCAATATCCAGTTGTCAATGACCAAAAAAAAAAAAAAAGTAACCTGGTTAGTTTACAAATGCCAATCTAATAAATCTTGTTTAGTGGGAGTTGAAACAAAAAGGAATAAACTAAAATAGCAGAGTCCGTTTCTTTCATTAAGCTCATCAGCCTCCTCAAAAGGACCTTGATAACCAACGGAGACTAGTTTTAAGGGAAGAAGGTTAATTTTTTGCATCGTGACGAACCAAGTTCGAATACCTATTAAGAGAAGTGCTTATATTTAGTGTCCGACAATATCTCAAACAAAATTGCCTCTAATAAAAAATACCTGTTATTAGGGGGGAAAAAAAATACAAGAACCTTGATAGTTGATATTATAAAATTTAACTTTATGATTTACAGTCTTTTATGTTCTTAAATAAAAAGGAAATTCATTGTTTCGATTTATCTTTTTTCCAATGGAGTTCAATGTAAAATTGTGCAAGATCTTTTATTATCACGCTAACTGGTTAAAGTCAAAATCTTGTGCTATGCAGAAGTAGTTAATTTCACTAGGAAAAAAAGCTACATGGAAAGTAGCAGTAGTAGTAATGTATGAACTCACCAATCTTGAAAGGTGTTAATCTAATGACATTTTTAAAAATTAATATAGGGCAGAAACATTGCGAACGTAATCTATCCATATATGAAATAGCGTAAGCAATATTAATATACAGTATAATAGAGTATCATTTATAAACATAAGGAGAATACGTATTGTTGTAAATGATGATCCGGATGCAGGAGGGAGGGAGGTGAGGTGGAGAAACAGGATGGCTCATTAGTGATATGAGAAGAGGTACGTTGGGCTGCCCCTTTTGCCCTTTGGGAGATGAAGAAGAGATAAGGAAGGGGAAGAGGAGAGGGTATTAAAGCCAAGAGAAAGAGGCACAGCGTGTTAATTACTACAGAATTATCTATCCACGCTTCCAGAAAATGAAAGTAGAGAATCAGGGAGCGGTGTTCACGGATATCAAAATCCGTATACACGGAGGATGAAAGTGCATGGATAGAATAAAGCGCCTCAATTAGCGATGAGATGAATCAAATATAATACCTATCTATCATTCCAATATGTAAACCATTTTATCTTCTCAACAACAATACCCTGCTTCAAGCAATGTGCTGGAAGTGCGGTCATATTATTCATTCACTATAATATGTTATCTTTCTGTTTGTTAATTGCATGCCTCTGAATCTGCTGCGAAATCAAGTTGGGGGAATTGCAAATAGGGGCCAAATAATTAACTTAATTATTCACAGGCCCAAAATTCTTTAATAATAACACAAGCATAAAGTCAAGGTACCCAATGACACCACCGAGATGCTCTTCTCTTGGAAGAGTTGAATCAAGCGCCTCTTAACTTGTGTTGGGTCCAAACCTGCCTAAAATTTTTGTACAAAAAAAAAAAAAAAAAGGCAAGTACATAATTTTCATGAAGAAATATATGCTTATTACAATTTAGCATGATATGATTAGACTTTTTGTTGAAAAAATATTTTTATCAGGCACCATCCACTGAACTTGAGTTTAATTCGTTCAAATTTCTCCGAAATATATCATAGTAACAGCAGAAAAAACTATCTCGGATTCACAATAGATACAAATACAGAGCAGTCACATACAGAAAATCAAGTATTCAAGTCACAGCCGTAGCTAGTTTTCCTCCACATACAACTAAAAAATCATCAATACAACAGCAAAACCTAAGTAAAAGAACATTCCACATAGATGTAACTAGTAACCGTAGCTAGTTTTCCTCATCATCTTGATGAACTCATCTGCGTTAACTTCTCCATCACCTGCATAGTTAAAAGATATTCAAAATCATGAAAACATCCATACTGTAAGAAATCAAAACTAATGGGACGTCAAATTAAATGCATAAAGTTTACTGGCCTCAGCGAACCGAACAATTGAAATGCCAAAAAATATCATGTCGATTCTGACAAAGGAAACCAACATTCTAATATCTTAAATCCAACAAAGTGAAACTAGATAAATATCAGAATTAATTAACAAGCCTTTAATTATAAGTCAGGCAACCATTTAAGAATATACTCCAACTTTAGCACCAATAAATCACTGAAAGATCAATGTTTGATCCTTTATTGTTTCGACTTCATAGCTCACATACGTATACACCCAGTGGGATTCAAATCAACGATCCTCAACTTTGATGGGAAAGAGCAAAAGAACAGATACAATTCCATTTGAAGTGAAATACAAAGGCAGGAAGTTCACAAATCCAAGGATGAAAGCATGATAACTATGAATAATATTACTATAATTTTGATATTTCGACCGTGATCTGCCATTACAGTGTTTCCTTCATATTATGCATATAAAATATCAAAATGACAAATCAACTATGACCATACATCCCTAATACAAACAAATGAACATGTAGGTGTTCTTTGATGCAGAAACAGCCAACAAAATTTCTAGCACTACGTTATCCCGACCATGAGAAGCACCCTGTCAGCATCATCTCAGATGCAAGAGTATGAAAGTAACAGATGCTCGAGAAGGTACACTTCATAATAAATTTATTTAAGACAATAGAGGCGTTTTCCGGTAAGATTCATTTCATGGCATAAACCATGACATGGTAAGAACCGAAGAGCAATCAGATGAGACTCAACATTTCGATTAAACTTAGAAGGTGCAGCCAGCATATTATATATAATTGATATAGTAGTATGCGATCACAATTTGCTTCATCATAGTAAACAACCGTACAATAGATGACAATCATCAGTTTTCTAGTAAACTTTCAAAATTAAAAACAAGAGATTATTTATATAACTTACGATCTCGGTCAGCTTCATCAATCATCTCCTGGATATCTCTGTCAGAAAAACTTTCGCCTAGTTCTGCTGCAATGCGTTTGATGTCTGCTGCAGATATCTTTCCCTACATTGATACCAAACAATGAGAATCGAGAATGTATAACAGAGTCAAACTTCACATTTTTCTTGATTGGAAAGAACTTCACATTTTTATCCCCATCAATAATCTGAAAAGCTTTCAAGAGCTCGTCCCTTGTGTCCCTTTCTCCTATTTTGGCAGTCATCATATGCTCAAATTCTTTATAATCAATTGATCCACTGCCATCCTTATCCACATCTGCTATCATTTGATTAATTTGCTGGAATGACACAACAGATCATCTGTCAAAGATGCTAGCATAAAATTTAACAAGTAGAGTTGAATCCCTAAAGCCCAGATGATATTAATCAGATAAATACCTCATCTGTCATCTCAAAGCCAAGGGCCCTGCCAGGAGAAGATGTCCGTCATAGAAATTACATATTTATTTAAGATGACAAAGCTTTAAAATCATGACATGAAAACCATACCTCATGGCAACATTTAGCTCCTTGGCATCGATAGTGCCTAAAATACATTAAAAAGTGTCAACAATTCAACGAAAAAGAAATGTCATAGATAACTGAGACATGAAGATATTAAAATTTCCAAAACCTGAGCCGTCAGTGTCAAATAATTCGAATGCTTCCTGAATCTCCTGCTTCTTCTTCTGCTGAGTCAATCCATGGCGTCCTTTTCCTCTGTTTTGTCTTCCGAACTCCCCACTATATAGAGTTGACTGATAAGGAAATTGCAAACCAAGAAAATAGTCAATGGCTGATTGATCAAGGATAATCATCTTCCTATTCATTCATGTGTGCATGCTTGAAGAGTCTCCAATCTCGCAGCTATCTAGACAGGCAGAGATTTATGTGGCTAAAATAAGAGAAGCAGAGATTTGCAAGTATTCGTACGGGATGTTAGAGATGCCACCGTATTTTAACCCGCCACTTTTCTTCTTCCTTTTTTCTTTTTATATGACAATCGATGGTCCAGTATAGCAATGTGCCATTTCGAGTGAGACAAACGTACAGTAAACTTGGAATCTATATTCATAGCATACCAATTGTTGCAGCAAGTTAAACAGTCCAACTAAGAATTGTTGAGCATAATGTCCATTTTCAAAACTAAAGAATGAGGTTAAGGCAGGAAAAAGAGGGGGGGGGCATAACCCACCACAGGAAACACGACATTGTTCGAGAAACATTAAATCGTAAAATTCACACACATAAGTAGCCCAGCCTCAAACGTGAAGGGGTTAGTATAGTTAGTCGATTAAAAGAAAATTGGCAAATTTCCCGGGAGAAGTATCAAAGAGAATCAGGTAAGAATATTAACAGGCGAAGGTACAGATTCCCCGAATTTCAGAGGGAAGGTAGGAATCGGAGCCACGGTGCTGGCAAGCCACGGCAACAAGAGCCCAACAAACAGCTTGACAGAGAAGGAGAGGGATGAGAAGCTTACCATTATTACGGACCAATTTGACCGGTGTCAGATTCGGAGGATGGGGGCGATGATGAGAAAACTTGCCTGCTAATCCTTCGGGAAGAATGGAGAGCAAAACAGGCCGGTTTCCGTTTCTCCTTCCTTTATAAAATGACGCGTTTAAAATCAATTTTTTTAGTCTCCATCTTAGTTAAATTTCATACAATTGAAATTATGGTGAAATCATCAGAAATTATGGTGAAATCAACATATTTTATCCTTGCATAACAATTTCATTAATATATCAATGAATATGATATTAAAAATATTAAAAAAATTATTTTGTTCCTAAATTATGAATAATTTGATTGACCTTAAACTAAATAAGAACAAACATCCCAATTCTGGCATCAATATCATGTAATGGTATAGTATGCTGATGGAATAGAGTTATGAATAAAAATTTTATTGATGAAAGTAAATGGAATGAGAAATATTCATACGGAGAATATCAGAATAATCAGCTGTAATACTGAAGTGAAATATTAAGTGGATGACAACACCTATAAGGGTCATCATATGACAATACTATATGGATAAATGTGATACTGTTTCTAAATAAAATACTAGTTCCGGTACTTAATATAAGAGTTTGTTTGACTTTTATTTTATTCTGAAATATAAGATCCCAATACATTTTTTTCTTATATTTATTTATTTTTTTCCAAATATTTTTTATTATAATAATAATAATTTTAATTAACACACTTGATTAGTAAAAATATTTTAAGAAAAACAACAGATATTTATTACAAATAATTAACTTAATTTTTTTAATCTATTAAAATTAGTTAACTAGTTTTTATATTAAAGACCGAATGTAGTATTTATTTTGTATCGTAAGATCGGAGCTACTAATCTTATAATAGGGTGAATCCACCAATATGATACCAATAAATTGCAGATGCCTACTTTTTTTGGGTTTTTGAATGGCGTGGGATTGTATTGGGCCATAATTCGGAATGGAGGTGGGGTGTTGAGTTCTATGGGTTGTTGATGGGCCTACGTCACCCTTGGGCTTTCATGTTGTAGCACGAAAATGACATCAGGAAGAGAACCCTTGACTCTTGAAAGTGTATTGTAGATATGATGCTTTTTGTCTGGTCAAAAAAAAAAAAAAGGTACGTGCTTTTTGCTTTCATTTTTTTTTTGGAAATACAAGGTCACGGCAAACAATTTGTGAGGAGGGATATAGTCGCCCTAGACTAATAGCTATTACCTCTGGTTCTAAATATAAGAGTTAGTTGATTAATTTGAGGAGATTAAAGAAATAAGTTAAATTAGTTATTTGTAAAATAGGTATTGTCTTTCCTAAAATATCATTGTTAATAAAGTTATTGACTAAACTATCATTATTAAAAGGACT